GAATATGGAGAGGTGATACAGCTACAAGGTGACCAGCATCAGAATATCAGTGATTTTCTGAAACAGCTGAAACTGGCCAAACCAGACCAGATACACATGCATGGTTTCTAGAACTTACTCCTTAGCATTGGGGTTTGCATGTATATAAGTTTACTCTTATTACCAAATAAGATCTAGAAAACAACTATCAAAGTGAAGGCTGATTCAGATCTAACTAGGAACACTGTTTTGTGGTAAACTTTAGGACTATGTCTACCTTAAAATCAAAACTTTTTTTTAAGATTTATGTCTAGCTATGTTGAGTTGATGGTTTCAGTTCTTTGGTGGCTTCTCTTACTTCATGTGCTCACGACAGCCATGGAAATAGTTTTAACACTAGCCAGTAACTTGGAAAACATAAGCAATAAAAAAAGAAACATTTCTGACTAGCATTGGTTTGTATGTTTTTTGTTAATGTGAACAATTGGTTGAGAATTATCATATCTCATGTCAGTGTAAACCTTCAACTCTCATACATCGTAAATAACCAAGACAAAACTTCTCCTAACCATATCAATACAATATCAAGCAGACAAGTGATGAGAATAAAGAAAAATTTCAATTAGGTATTATTAGTTGATCAAATACAAAATTCTCTAAACTAAAATCATAAGAATTGTATAACAGACTGTAAGGAGAATTACTACTGAGATATTGGGAATGAAAGGGTAAATGTATTATTTCCCACCTGGTTTTTAATAAATTTGTTTTATTTGAGTGTACACTGGTTTATTAATCACTGGAAAGTTCGTAAAAACTGAAATACAATAAATTAAAATAGGCAATTATCATACAATAAACGCTAATCGAAATGTCCTAAACTCGAACAGTATGATGCTATATCGAAGGCGTTCGTCGAGGGTCGAACACACAATTTATAGTACAGCGATTAAATTTAAAATACGTCATGTAAGCTTCAGCACTTGTTCCCCACGAAAAATTCAAAAAAGGACTGTTCAAGATCGTTCTGAAGAAAGGAGCTTTGAGGTCCTGCGGCAGTTTCTTGATTTTGTTTGAGTATTTTGTGGTTGTCATAAAATAACCACTGAGATAGGATCTTTACCTGTAAACTAAATACGAGTACAAATTTGTTCTTATATCGGGCACATAAAATAGCATTACACCGTTACTGTTTTCTTCCAGTATCAAATCATAAGGAGAAGAAGAAATATTACTAAATGCGTGATCGCGTAGTTTATAGCGATTCTCAAAATCCTAGATTCATGAAAACAAGCCATCAAACTATACTTCTCTGTTTTTTATTACTCACATGAAGCTCACAGATAAAGATATACAAAAACTAATAAAATGTTTTCAGTATGTTTGAGCTATTTACTAGGTTATCAATGCGCTAATACTGAGCCTAACAGTAACGTTTGAATTTTAGACGGTAATGTCGTCTCTTAAAAAGTAAATTATGAGAGAGATTCTCCTTGCAGCGTTGAGTCCGTTGAGAGAAGTTCAATGCTTTTTACTTACGTAATACGAAAAATTTGTCCACACTGAAACATCAGATAATTCGTGAAATAACGAACGGGAATTTCAGGAATTGTACACACGCTACGTTTATGGGAAATTCTGAAATAAATGGATGTAAATGACCTTCCCGATTTTGTTTCCTCAGTATGCGAAAAGCTCGATGGATTCCTCCACTAAAATACCTAGAAAAATTAAAACAGTTTCGCGGGTTATGCAATAATCGAATACTACAGGTATGTTCCATTATATTTCAAACTCTGTTTTCAAAAGGAATTCTCACCGTTGTTGCACCGTGGAGGCAATGCCGAGTTCCATTGCTTACGATGGTAAACGGTTTGCCAAAAAATTGGATCGGTACATTACCACCATTGTGTTCAAAGACGGGAGATGCTGCAAATGCATAATGCATACTTAGGGTGTTTTCCAAGAGCTTTCCTATATATGAAATACTTTTAAATACTTCAACACTTTTACGCCCGGTGCATTGCGTAAATTCTTCACAAAATTGCGGCAAAAGATCAAGTCTCTACAAGGCCCGCACCGAATTGATTAAGGCAAAAAAATCAGCCAAGAATAAGAGAAACTGCCAATTATTTTTCGAAAACCTCTTGTGATTTAACTCCTTTGAGTGCAAGGCCTTCTTTACAAAGCATGTGGAACTAATAAGAAGAAACCTCTCGAGCATATCCTTGAACTCGTCTCTTTTCCCATCGAAATAACCCAAGAAGTACTGATTTTCAACAGAACAATTTTCAAGGTTTTCCTCAAGGAAGTCAGTCTCTGAGTTGTTTAAAGAAGAATGATTAGTCGCCGCCATCATTACGCATTCTAGTGTCTTAATCAAAAATTGTCTTCAGTTTTTAGATGTCATCCTTTCGCGGGCTTTTGCAATATTCGCGGGTTTCATATTTTTTCCCGCTGACCAAAATTACCGTGTACTCTTACCCTCGACGAACGCCTTCGATAT